CAGAAATACTTCACAGATTTTGACCATTCTTTCCAACGTGTGATTACTCTGTTAAAAAAACGAGACAAAAACAATCAAAAAAGTTTCACAATTGTGCCCAATTTAAGTTGTCAAAAGTGAAACTAACGATATCATTATTACTGTAACAATTAAGACGCCTTGACATTTAAATATAGTTTTTATCGATTTACTAAGGCTATTCAAATAAAAAAGTCTGCGTTTGAAAGTTGGAAATATTGTAATTAGAATCTTTAATATTATTACTTAGCTAATAAATTGACAACTGCTTGACAAGAAGCATTCATCTGCCTCAGTTTACTAAATTTTTTGGTAGTTTCAACATGTCTTTATTCCAACAATTTTGTTGTTCTTCTAAAGTCATATGGTGATCAGCAATTCACTTAATTTACACTAATAAAAGGATTTTCTTTCAAATAATGTTTTATACAAAGTGAACCAATTAAAGCGTAAAAATACCTTTATACCGTCAAAGTATACATAGCCTCTGGTTAAATTTACTTTAGATAAGTTGAACATGCTACGACCATATTAAGTTGGATAACAATTCCTAGATATTTCGAACTTTGCACAAAGTAAATATCCTTGTAATAAATATCTACAGAGATACATTTTACATTTGATTCATGAAGGCGGTGGGTGGATCTACAGGGTAGGTCAGAAAACATTACAAGCAACTCATTGTAATTTGAAAATGCCACATCAATAACACAATTGCTTAGTAGTTTCTAAAGAAAATTTAAGACTAAAATATTACCAGTATGATTAGCTGTCGGGAATTTTGAATTTCAAAAATATTTACACTTATAGCAATGTTTTCTTACCTACCCTGCATCTACTAATGGCTCAAAAGAAGTTTATTTTCATCAAACCAGTTTGCCATAATGAAAAATCTTTGTTTAACTCTTTATTTAAGCGCATAGATCAAAAGCCACCACAATTTTAATACTGTTTCATCGGTGTATAATAAAATGTCGGATAAATTCCAGCTCATTCAGAAAATCCTTAATGTAGTTGGTCAATACTAAATACTAATTTCTGTATAATAAACAAACAGTTTATTTGAGCCACAACGTGTGCCTTTCTTCCAATTGCACTTCAAGCACTGTCAAGTGAAGATTTTCATCCTTAACTTTTTATCCCTATAATGAAGGACCGCATCTCTTCCATTAATTTTCATAAAGGTACTCAATATTGCTTGTTTTAATGTCTGTGATGATTATTCTTCTCGCATTTTTGTCAAAATTGTGAAGGACAGGCAAAGACACTGTGATTTTGGAAGTATTTTAGCTATTTTCTATTGATTTTGAAATGGCAAGTGCTTTGAGAAGAAAGAAAGGGGTGGAGTGTAAAATTCATAGTTTTACCAAAGTAACTTGACCATATAGTGCATTGTTTCCAATCGTAAAATTTACATTTTATTTGTCACGCAGGTTCAGTGATTATGACTTTTCTAATTTCGCGTAAAGACTAATCATTAGCAAGTTTATAATAATAAAAGCAATAAAATGATTATGGTGATAGTCGGGAGGGCACATTGTTATATACTTTGTAAATATAAATATATAAATATAAATATATAAATATAAATATAAATATGGTAATTATTGATGAGAAGAAGAAAATACACAAAAACTACAATTTCATCCCGACAAGTCTGTTTCGTGATTTCTCACTCTTCAGGGGATATTAAATGAATACAAAGCATGTGCTAGATTATATATACAAGAGGAAGTTAGGGTAAAAATTAAGATAGAATTACAGAATATGTTGAGTGTATGGTTACAAATTGGATAAAAGTGCCTTGTGTCTATGGCGACAAGAGGAGATAAGTTCGTTACGTTTGTTGAGTGATGATAGTTGTGGTTGGTAGGTGATAAAGAATTTTTCTTTCAGGCATAGGTTGCATCTTTTGTTGGCGCTGTTGCACGGTTTGCTGTGAGTGATGATGTTCCATGAGATATCGTGAGCGATGTTGTTGTCTTTTAGTGTCCATATGTGTTTGCTGAGTTCGGTGGAGTTTCTTAGTTTTTTGTGGCGGAAAGAGGCAGTGTGGTTCCGGTGTCGAGTCTTAAATTCGTTTTCTGTAAGTCCGATGTAGGTCTCAGTTGTGTTAGCGTCCAAACGTTTAACAGTTGCTTACTACTTGGCTTGATGTAGGATTTTGGATCTGCCAATGCACTGTGACTACAATTCTCAGTTGTAGCTACTAATCTGTCTGCCATGCTGTTAAAGAAGTAGTCCTGCTAAGCACTTCAGTCGAATAGAAGACTCGTCTTCAGAAGTAAAGTTTTGTAGTAACACCAGAATGATGCTTGGAACTCTTGCTTAGTGAATAGAAAATTCATTTTTAAACAGCATTATTTCTATGCATGTGCAACGTCATCAAGAAAGAAAAACGAGTGAAGGAATGATTTGCAAGTTATATACAGCATAATATGAATTAAACCTTTTTTCTATTTCAAAAAAAGCACTGTTACAGTGTTCATAAAATGGAAAAATCAACAACAAATGACATGGCTACAAATCTCTCTTTAACTAGACTTATCTCTTTTGCTAACTTTGATATTTATTTAGCTATCACTTCTGTCAAAAAGATGTGGCACGTCCTTTGCATTCTTGCAAACAAAATACGAAACCAGCTCGTTTTTAAAAAGTTTCGTTTTCCATCAAGTATACTGGGTGAGAGAGAAAGATGGTTATGTCAACACATGAGTTGCAAGACAGCTAAAAGATCATGTCTAAGAAGCCGCATTTTTTATCTTCTTTATGCATCATGCATGTTTACTTTTAAACAACCAAATCTCTCTTTCTAACTTTGATTCTGATTGTTATCCTGAATTAATCTGCACTTAGTTATATTGGTCAACTTGAATCTGTAATTTTATACTGCAATCGCTTGCAAACTGAATTGATTGTAATAATTACATTGTTTTTCTTTTCGGCCAAAAGATATCAATTCATGATCGTGTATATTGCTCGAATACCAGCATGCAATGTCACAGAAAACACATTCAATTAAAAGCAGTTTGCAAATTGATCACTGCAGTTAGTATGTCGTATAATGCTCATAAAATTCCTTAGAATGATATTTTTCTGAAATCTGATGCAATCAGAAATACTACAGCAAATATTTTCCACGCAGAACATTAGTAATAGTTGTGCTGTTGACCATTTGACTTGATTTTCACTGGGGAGGAGAGAGGGTGAAGCATCTGTGGTTTTGCCACAAACAAGTATTCATATTCCATTTATATTATGAAATTTACATTTATTTGCCAGAGTCGGTCATTTTATAGTTTCTTACATTAGATTTCGATTTAAAACCGAAAAAATAAAATTTAATCATGACCCCACTCGATGACAAATGGTCACATTTTTACAAAGGAATGTAATTGACTTCAGATGCAAAAGTCCAACAAGAAAACTCGTGCACAGATAGCTATCTCTATACAGCATACTATTGAAATAAGAAATCAGTGTAATGAAGCAAACTCTTATTAATCAGTTTTTGTGTCAATAATTATAGTGCAAAGTTAATTGCTATAAAAAACCTACATAATGACTTAATTAAAAAGTCCAAGATACATGCAGTGCAGAGTACAATTGATCAAAGGTTAATAGGTACAAACTATGCTTTACTTTGTATTTTAATGTTAAAAGCTTTTTGAGATTGTTCCAGAGGCGTCGCTATGCTGTTCGACAAGGGTTTGAGGGACATGGCCTTATAAATATTGTTTATTCGCGAGATCTCTAAAACACCACTTCCCACATTTTCAAGAAAGTTTTATGACAATATGAAAGACTCACATCGGCAATTTAAGTTAAAAGCAAATATTTTTACAAAAGTTAATCTAAATTTGTCAACAATGGAATCCAAATCCATACTATGTGCGTTTTCTCTTTCTATGCTGATATGAAACAAATATTCAAGGTCTTTATCCTATGTAATTCACTCAACTATGTGCAAAAGTACTCAGCAAATATTTATAGCTTTTTGTTAAATGAATCATTGTATATTCCCTTTAAGATTTCAAAGTAAAAAAATTATAAAATTGAAAAATTGTGAAAGCACGTCTCACCCCCTTCCATTTCACTCTTTAGCTACGCCGCTGAATTGCTCCATTATTTTTCAATGTTATAAGATACTCAGGATAGCACTGGTTATCTTGGAAAATGACGAACATTGTGGGATTATTTTGGTTATCGACAACAGAATCATAAAGTAGACCTGGATTACTGGGATCATTTCTTGATGGTGGTGCCTTTAGTCCTTCCTTACCCAATGTGTACTTTCCAACAAGAACTTTGGCGATGTATATCTTTGGTTGTGATCCAGCAGAACACTGTTCACGAGAGTAATCCAGAGAAAACGATGCATCTCTTGCAAAGTATACTCCATTTCCATAAATTGCTCCTGTAAATTGAACACATGCATTAATTAAGGAAAAATGTTTGTTGTGGGCGTACACTAGAAATTACAAATGGATGTCCATTTGTGAATTCTTTAGTTTTAACATAGAAGGTCGTCGTATTCTTAATAAAATATCAAAAACTTTTGTCAAAAAATTAGGCTAATGTACTTTCAATTGCGTTAACATTTTTCTCTGTAATTATAAATAGGATTTAATGCCAAATTGAGAAACTCTTCAAAAATTGTCTAAGTAAATATGGATCTGTCTTTAACTCTCACCATTTACGCCAGCAAAGCCTTCGCTAAAGTTGTTCGAGTTTATTGCTTCAACGTTGTTTGGGTTAGTGCCGTGAAAAAGACGCATTTCATTCACATCATCACGCATTGAACTTTTAAAGGTCTGGTAACGACAGTAAAGCCCGGGGTTTTGTATCCTTTGAATCTCATAAATTTCGTCAGGATCTCCTTTACAAGCCTTGAAATAATTTTTTATCTCGTCATATTCAGCGGATGATGGTTTAAGTTTTTCAACATTGACAACTTGATCGGAAGGCTGAGGTGACCAACTTGATGGAACTGGGATATCTAAATCATGTATGAGGTGTTGCTACTTATAATAGTATGTAACACTCGAGGATGACAACTTGAGATTAAAATTTATGATTACGATTTGAAATTAAAATTTAAGATTAAGAATTGAGATTTAAGACTTTCTATGCAATGAAAAATTTAAATATGTTTTCTGTTTCTTCAAAGTATTGAAGATTAAAAATCAAATAATAAATGTTTTACCTATAGTTGAGGAAATTTCTTTTATGGTGTACTGACTAATACGTTTTTTGAACATATGGCTTGCTATCATCACGTCGCAGCTCAAACCAGTGAAAGAAATTGTGTTCTCATCCTCAAACTCTATTCTAATGCTATCCGACGGTGTTTCCTTCAATTCATCTACCAAATATCGTAGAACAAGATCATAGAGATTTTTATGACGAATTTTTGATGTGGTGATATTATCTTTGATGAACTTTTCGATTTTTTGTATTGCAGAAGAAACTTCTTCATCGGAACGTCCTATAATTCGAAACGTTATGGATTCTTTGCCACAGCCAAATGCAAGAGGAACAAAGATTGGCTTTAAATTAGAGGTACTGTCGCCTAAATGGAAAAATTGGTTTGCAAAATGCTGATCATATTTACTTTAAAAAAGGTTCTTTTTAACCATATAAAGTGGAAAACATCTTTTACAAATAGATTATTTTTGAAATGTAATCGTTTGAGTTTATAGTGTTTCTTTCTTGTAATTTAGTGTAATTCTATCCTTTTAATTAAAATGAAAAGTTTTTTTATGATATTAATTATCAACTAACAAATTTAGACTCACTGCTTGTAGTCTGTCTTTCTGGATCATATCTTATCAACTTGATTTCCTTCAGTGAACTTTGTGGATATGTGGAACTGAATCTTTTGAATTCTTCTTTCATCAAACGTAAAACAGTTGTTTCGGGAAACTTGTGTTTACCTGCTCCTATTATTGGCAACGCCACAGACTTGGCAGAACGTTTGTTGCATTCCTCAAGAATTTTAAATAGTAGTTTTCGGAGCACCTTGTTTTATGATAAAAATAATTATATTTAAAGAAATCGAAGAAGACTTGGCTTTTGAAATATATTGAATGAATTTTTCTTAAGTAATCCTTACTTCTTCAGCATCACCTCCCGGTTTCCAATCACAACAAACGGCATGAACGACAAAATTACATGAAAGATTTCCTGCATTCGTTGTTGCTATATCACCTGTGGAAATGTAAGGCTGATTACCACATTCTGTGACATAAGAGTCCCCAGCCATATTATTTAATGCTCGTCCAGTCATTGTTGCATCACTCAGATATGAGACCGCTGAGTTGACCAAAACATCAACCTTGGAATAAAATTAAAAACACAGTGATCTTCTGATCCACGTTAAAGAAGGATATTATTTTCTTTTTTATAAATGATATACGAAAACGTAAAATACACAAAACTAGTCCCCCTTTTACCTATGGCATATTATCCGACAAAAGCATGGAAGTAAAATAAGTAATGATGACACTCACGCTTTCTTTGGCGAGATCGCCATACTTCCATAAAACGTTTAGACCTTCTTTTGTCATAAAATTGCATTCATTGAATTGTTTTAAATCTTTCTTAAATTGACGTCTTTTATAGATAATGCCTTCAATGTCAAATTGCTGAATATTTTCTGCAAGGCTATCAGTCACCTTCATCGTTACATTCGTTTGTACTTTAATAAATTTCAAATATCTTTGTCCATCCTCGTTAAAAAATAATTTGAGAATTCCAGGTGATGAGTATGATCTTGTTTTCGTTCTAATATCATTTTTTAACTTCATTATGCTAGTCTTTGCCTCTTCAATTCCTTTCTTTGTTCCAGAATATTTCAATAATCCCAGACTCATCGTAATTTTAACTTTCTCATCTTTAAGTTGAGCTTCAATCACTTCAAATTCTTTTTTTAGTTTTTCTTTCATAAAACGTGTCATCTCAAGCTCAACATCAACAAAGAGAGATTCTACCTTTGGTATACGAAAAATTATTTTAATCGTGTAATAAAATAACTAACGGTTTCTGATTGACTAATCGCTATTGGTATAAAATCTGCATGTCTCTCTACTCTACTACATCAAGCGCCGATGAAAAAGTCACTATCGCGTTATGACATCGTAAAGGTAACATGAACGTCCTGAGGAAAGGGGATTATGAAATACCTCTCCCCCTCCCCCCTCCTCCGATTGGCTTATAATACAAAGTCACAAAATTGTGTTTCGATGTCTGTATTCAGTTTTTAATCGATAAGAAATATAATAATACACGCCTTCATTTTTTTTGTCAGTTATTTGAGTGTTGCAAGTTTTTCTTTACTTACCACTTTTGGACTTGCCACTCTCTTTTTTACTTCTATGACTTCACAAGTATTGCTCTCTGCAGGATTATTGTCATAACTATTATCTAGGTAATTGTGATCACTTTTAACACTCTTATTTGATGCAGGTGGAATAATATTTATAAAGGAGTTGGTGATTCCCTCATTTTGATGGATGCTATCAACGCAAAGCACGCCTGGCTTTTAAATATTTTACAATTATCTTTTTTTGATAAGCATTTTGAGCTTTTGCTGGCTCTATTACCTGCTGGATGAACTAAAAACCTACGCAGATGCCGACCAACGTCATCAGATTTGCTTTTCTAAAAGGAGTTAAAGGTTGCCTTAACAAAAAGACAAAATTTTCTCTTGTCGTTATGGCTGTAACAAAGTTTTTTTGTCATGGGCTATCAGCAGCATTTACAAAGCTAAAAATTGTATGGTATAAGCAAACAATGATATCTTACTTTCCTTGTCCTTCCTTGACTATTTCCCATTTTGTGAGTTGAGGTTCGTGTGACTGTGACGACTATTTCAAAGATCGTCAACTGTTTTTTGTGATTTGAATGTCAGCTGATTTAGTTTTACTGACAATACCAAATTTCAACTAATAGTGAGAAAAAATAAATTTGTGGCTTATTACGAGAATGCTTTCATGTAATTTCAGTGAGAGTTCATAAATTTTTATCCGAGTAGTTCTATATAAAATTCATATATACAAGATCTCGATATGTAATTCATCATACCTGGCCATTTTGGTTCGTTTTTGAGATAAATACGGTATCTTTGAAAAAGTGTCATGCAAATATTTTGTCAAGAGTATATATTAATGCATCATTCGTAATCACTTAACAAGGGCGTTGGATGGAAAGGGGGTTGCATTAAAATAGCAAAATTACTATGATAGAGAATGTTTTCTATGGTTCTATTTTGACACAAAACATATTGATATGTTCATTGCAGCCAACCAAGCGGGCTTCTAAATAATTGCGCAAGAGCATTTAGCAAATTTGTTATTAATATGAAGATTACTCTGAATATCATTACTGCTAAGTTTGTCGAAATGTCAGTGAACATCAACACCAACAGTCATGCAGTCTCAGGATGATACTAACCTGGACGATCTACATCTGCAAAAATTTTATCCAGAGGTGTAGGAAGTATGTGAAAGTTTGGTGGGCTCAAGATTTTTCGGGAACTTTTCATTTAAAAAGGACACATTTTTTGTAAAAAAGTGCACCTTTCTTTTATCAAATTTAAAAAGTGGGAGTGGGTGGGCTCGTGCTTCCCCATGCCCCATCCTTACGCCATGGTAATCATCTGCTGAGACAGCAAACTAGTCTACGACGTGTTACATGAAAGCTTATGCTTTGAATGCATAAACAATTTAGCGCATATACATATTTTTGTATCAACAAACAATGTAGACATTTGACTAGACCGAAATATAAAGTTGTCTTACTATTTTTGTGCGAAGGATCGTGTTGGTTTGTTGTAACTATTTTCTTAATAACATTTTGGCAAAATTACATTGCAGAAGATTCTGCTTTCATGGCAATTGATCTTTGAACGCGGAGGTTTCGCACATAGTAAGTATTTCATTATATTCATTATTTATTGGTCTTGTGACTCGTGTTTTAAATTCTTTATCGTTTTGACGTAGTAATTACAAAAATGCAAAGGAAAAATGCATTGAATTTGTTCCTGCTTTACAGTTTTCTAAGCTGAGCATTACAACATTCTGACCACAGTGATTGACATACAATGCTTCAAAGCACTTACGGGGACTCAGAAAATAGCTAACATAGAATCAAAAAAAAAGAAGTTAGTCACTTTAAAAAATAGTGGCATGCAAAGCGTCTTGTAAATCAGGGAATCAAACTTATTGTGGCTTTCTTAGCGTTTGAAAGTTTCTTTCTTACGAGGCTCATCTAAATAACTTTTCCAAAATGTATGTAGGCAAGACAGCTTGACGGTCTATTTTCAACAAAGCACAGCTTTGTAGGTGTTGCAAATACAGCAAAATTAAGTATATTTTCTAGTATGCTTCCAGCCTCGCTCCCAGACGCTTTCGTATACTTAATAAGTTTTGACCTATGTCTTCCACAATTAAGGAAAAGCAGTCAGAAAGTTTAAAAGAAGCACGTTGGTATAATTGTTTATGACGCTTTAAAACCGCCAAAAGTTGATAAAATTGTGTTGTAGACAGAAGCTTTTTTGATAGCAATTTCAACAACAACAACAACTACCGACAAGTATTTAAGTAATCTTACCTTTCTCAATCAAATTTGAGTAATTGCAATAAATATATTAAAAGCCTTTCACAAACTATTATGGATACAAGAAGCGCTTCAGTCAATATTCTGTCTCATTATGCATGAACGACGTTGGAGGATGTATAATGGGGGTGGGCTCGATTCACATTTACGCATGTTATAATCTGTCGAAAACAATGGCTTTCAAAGGAACTTAGTAGAGCATATCATGCATTTATGAATATAATACCACACAATTTATTAATCTTTCCAAAGTCCAATTATACATTGTTTTATATTTCTAGGTAATAGCAACAATGAAATGAAACTGAAACAAACCTTGAACGTCGACAACTTCTCGTCTTCTTTTTTCATTTTGACTCCTGTTCTTGCACGACACTTAAAGAACAAATTGAGTGAAATTTTATTTTTTAAATTAGCCATATTGCCTGGCCTAGTTTCGAAAATGAAAGTGCATACTTTCAAAGGATTTTTACTGATCAAAATGTCTTTCAATAGAATTATAATTTGTTATGATGATCAGGGATGTAAATTAGTTAAATCTCTGTTAAAGAAACATACTCCCAAAATTATTTCGAATTTATTTTAATGAGAAAAGATACTCGTAGTAGGAATGTTAATTATGGAATAATAGGCGATCCTTAATTAGGTTGCTTGGGCC